GTACCAAATTTAGTCACTCATGGCGAATTTCATTGGAATTGGAAATACGTATCGTGTTTTGTGCATCAAATATGTGAAATCGGCGGAAAATATATATGGGAGCTATATCCAAATCTGAACCGATTTTAATATAATTTGACTAATTTATTTTCTAATCAAAATCCCGTCACATATTCCAAATTTTTTTGGAATCGAACATACATATCGTGTATGGTGCATAAAATACATGAAATCCATATCCAAATATGAACCGATTTTAATATAATTTGAATAATTTATTTTTTAATCAAAATCCCGAAACACATTCCAAATTTCATTGAAATCGAACATACACATCGTGTTTGGTGCATCAAATAAACGAAATCGGTTGAAGATATATATGGGAGCTATATCCAAATCTGAACCGATTTCCATATAATTTGACAAATGTATATTCGTTTTAATTTCCGCTACACATTCCAAATTTCATTGAAAGTAGAGATACATGGCGTGTTTGGTGCATCAAATACATGAAATCGGTCGAAAATATATATATGGGAGCTGTATCCAAATCTGAACCGATTTCAATATAATTTGACAAATTCATTTTTGCTCCCAATTTCGTTACTCATTTCAAATTTCATTAAAATTGGACATACATATCGTGATTGTTGCACCAAATACATGAAATCGGTCGAAAATATATATGGAAGCTATATCCAAATCTGAACCGATTTCAATATAATTTGGGGAATCAATTTTTTAGATAAAATCCATCACACGTTTCAAATTTCATTGAAATTTGGTATACATAGCGTGTTTGGTGCATCAAATGCTTGAAATCGGCCAAAAATATATATGGGAGCTATATCCAAATCTGAACCGATTTCAATATAATTTGTCAAATTTATTTTTGTTCCAAATTCCGTTACGCATTCCAAATTTGGAAACAATATCTGTAACCGATCAATAGATATGTGCATACAAAGTCTAAATTTTTGGGAGGTACCTCCGATTCTGATGCTATATCTCCACTTCCAAGTGGAATTTCAAAAATGTATATGGCCTATGTTACTTTCAGGCGATGTTGCAGTATACATGCAAATTTTCAGGAAAATCTGTTTAGCGGTTTTCGAGTCCATAAATTACAAACAAACAAACAAACAAACAAACAAACATACAAACATTTTCCTCTTTTATAGATATAGATACCCTCTGTAGCAATATGGTTGAGGGTACAATTACTTTACGTTTTCTTAATCACTAACCAGTAAAGAAATGTCAAAAGTCCGGCGGGGAAAACTGTATGACTATGCATATTTACTCCTATCAATTAAAGTTTATATAGGAAATTTATATGAAGCAGATCATTCTAACTATAATTGTTTTTGAATGTGAATTATGGCTTTAGGTTATTTATAATTTGAAATCTAATGGAACTACTATATGTGAGCTATATTCTATCCAGAATCGATTTCCACAAAATTTGAAGGATGCACTTTTGTCGGATCCGACTTTTGGTGCACAAAAAAAAACGTGAAATCGGATGAAGATATATATGGTAGCTATATCCAAATATGAACCGATCTCTATAAAAATTTAGTAGAGGTATTTGTATGCTGTATCTGATAGCTGGCACCAAATATCGTTGTCATGGAGTGCATTTTACGGTTGTGATTTTATACACTTTGTTCCACAATGCATTCTGTCATATGTGCCAAAATTTATTCAATTCGGGCTTGTATTAACTACGTGGTGCACAATAAATTTAAAATCGGATAAATATTCAAATCTGAACCGTTTTTTGGGAAATTTGGCAAAGGTATTTCTGAGCTGCATTTGATATATTTTTCCTGAATATCGTTCGTATGGAACGCATTTTTACGGATGCGGTGCCAAAAATAACAAATTTAATGAACAATGTTGGAGCTATAGCTATATATTTACATACTTTTCATTTGCAATATACAATACAATAAAAGACAAATCGGACGAAAATATATAGGAACTGCATTTAAATATTTATCGATTGTTTCCAACTCCATTAGGGTTTGTCCTTAGGCCAAACAAATAATTTTTATATAATTTCATCGCTGTCGGGCAATAAATGTGACCTTTGTTCACAAAAATATATGGACAGACATACGGACGCACAGAAATTTATTCTATGACGATCCTCAAAAATAAACATGGGTCTCGTTTCCTTCTCTATGTTACAAACTAATGCACATTGACAACAGTGTGGTATAGGGTATAAGAACCTAAAATTACAGATTACACTGCAGTCCATTAAACTGTAGCAGACATCTTAAAACTACTGGCGGTATAATTACATAGAATTACACTAAAAATCTATTACCAATAAGGTCTTTCGTTTACTAAGAAAATTATATAATCAGCGATGATTGGAAAAACCAAACTACAGATAATTCCATGTTACATCTCAATAGAGAATATATTTCAATATTTTAATATATTTTAATACCATAAAAATTGCAAAAACATGCGTGTAATCAAAATTTTACCAATTTAAGACCATTTACACATATCTGCCCGCCCGTCTGTGGTAACCACTTTAAATTTTGAAGGGATAGACCTATATTGATAAATTGTTGGTCATACACATTATATGTCTCCCGGTTCTACAAATTTTGGCATTTATAGCTTCTAGCGTGTACTTAATCGTTCTGCGAAAGAATTACTAATTTAGGTCCAAGGATTGGTACCACCCTCAATAAACGGTACATCCTGCTATTTCGTACTTTGTTGATTTTAGAGGCATTTTTCAACTGAAATTACGCATTGTGCAATGATTATCAAGTTTCTGGAAGAAAATGATCAATATAGGTGTAGCACCCGCATATCCGGTACCCTAGATTTTCGACGAAATATGAAATTCGTTTTTAGTGTCCAACCCCTTGGAAGAATATTAGCAATATAGTTCTACATTTTACTCTCTTTACGAGTAGACCAAGATTGGCTAACATTTTAAAAGCACACAGGTGCTTCGATTCAATTTTTGCCCTTTTCTAAACTTCAAGGTTCTAACAGTACTTGTTTCGAGTTGTCTTTATATGAGTCTAGAGTTCGGCAATTCCACTATATATCATCTTTGTTTACAACATTACATATCCTCTACTATTACAACATTACCACAATCACGTCTTCTTGGAACATTATCTCGATAATAATTAGAAGGAATAAGAAACAAAAACCTGAAAATTGACATGACTTATGTGTTTGCTGACATATATATGGCATATATATTTGCATAAATGTGTTCATTTTGAAGCTCAAATTGCTTACCTTAATAATCACATTGCTCCCTTTACTATGATGCGTCTATCGCCAAAGGGTAGGGTGCTCATTGATTGAGATGGAAAAATAAAATGTTGGCATCTTAGGGTCTTTCGCAATATAACAAATATAAGATAACATGTTCCGGTTCTCATTTGATTCATCTGAAATATCGCCTTCGTGGAAAAGATTTTTAAAACTTCGATTTCGGTCCACATATTCCTATCATCACTCCGCAGCCAGACTTAAATGAAATGTCATGGCATGCCATTTTATGAATATTTTCAATTATATACTACATATATTGAGATTATATACAAATGTGTATATATATATGTGTTTCTTAAAATTAGTTCAAGGCACAATGGATGTGAAAAGACGCCACTAATTTCAATGGAAGCAGCATCCGTCATCCATAAAATATTCGAAACTATCAAAAGACGTAGGGTACGAAGGTTTACGAACAACAAACAGCTGCTGAATTGAATGAATGTCCTTTTACTTGGGTCTTTGTCTGTTCGTTTGCCTGTTACCAGGCATCTGAAGCTGTGTACATAGAAGAGCCAAAAGTGTTAAAGGAGCTGGATGTCTTTTTATGTTTCTTTCTTCTCTAACTGATGTGCAGCAGCAATGCGTGCGTGCCTCCCTTCATCTTCGTCGGTGCCTTTACCAGGCATGCCAGATATCATGGATAGGGGGAGGAGGGACCTGATGATGATGAAACTGCTGCTGCCAACGCTTGAATAGCGACAAAAAAGCAGAGCTTAATACTTAATAAATATTTTATGTATTGCTCGGAATAACATAAAGGCAGGCAGCCAGCCAGTCAGCCATTTACGGCGGCTGCTATGTACATACATACATAGTACGAACGTTCGGAGAGACACCAAGAGGATGCCCACTTATGTACACAAAAATACAAAATGATGATGTTCACTTTTTTGTCCATGTTGTAAATTATCCTTCGCACTATCTCTGTCCTACTTGCGTTTGCGTCAGGACCAAAAAAAAAATAATAAAAAAAACACAAGCAGACGTCAGACCAACCCAGGCCATGCCATTTGAATGGGAATATTAAGAAAGAGATTTATGAATATTTAAAGAGGGCGTGTTTGTGTCTGCTGCTATACGATACACATGCACACCACCACCACTACTACTACCAAGATTGATCTGGTTGTTGTTGCCTGCTGTCGAAGACTTCATGTTCATATTTACCCTCTCCATTGTCCTTGCCGATTTCATTCATATTTTTGAGTAAATAGTCAACAAATAATGTCTCACAGGCTCTCAAGCGCTGTATGTGTCTGAGAGCTAAGAAGGGGAAGTTTACTTTTGGGAGAGCAAAATATGTTTTGAAGATAATTTAATGGTAGTTATCCATCCCACACCATCACCATACAAATTGTGAGATTTATCTGTGAAATGCGCAAACTCTCTCTCTCCCTGTTCCATCATCTCTCACTCATTGCAATGCTCATTTCATTGTGTTGATTTCCCCTTGTTCTTATTTTGCTTTTGTTTTTGGGTTTGCATTGCATGCACGAGTTGTTTGTTTAAATAGGGGTAGTTGGTTGGTTGGTTAGTTGCTCTCTTGCCCTTTATGTATGTATTTTGCTCTTTTATTTGTTTTTGCCATTTAAAGCAACAGCAACAAATCTACCCTCGATCTACTTCTGGTAGGGATGATTTTTGCTGCCATTCAGCCAGCAGAGTATGTCAGGAATTTCATAAATTTTAAGCATAGTTTCGGCAAACAATGCTCATCCATCATTCGCCTTTCAACCGTACAAACGTTTAAAACACACATCACACCACAGTAAAATTGAGAAAAAAGACAACCAACTGAAAGATACGACGCGTTTATATTTTAAAATATATACGGGAAAAATATAAATGGAATTATTGGTGTTTTAGAAAATTAAAAAAAAAAAAAAAAACAAAATAATAAATGAAAAATTAATCAAACAAAATAAGACATCAGAACAAGTGTTTGAGAAATTGAGAAAAACAAGTGCTTAGTTTAAAAATAAAAGTAAAGAGAAGAATAGTGCAAAATTGTTTAAGAACGCTAAGAAGTTTTGGAATTTCCGTTCAAAACTTTGGCGCCCAAAATTGGATATTAAATCCCCCGGAGCTGTGCCAATTATGGTCTACTTTGTACGTATTTTTATTATTTTAGTAAACCAAGTTATAAATATAAAAGTAGTGTTAGCATTGAGTTGTTAAAAAAAAATATGAACTGATTTCCGTCGGCTTTCCAATAAGAACACTTAAAATTGCAATAATCGAAAATAAACAAAGAAAGTGTTAAATAGCAAATATATTTATTTTGGAATAACTTATTCTAACATTCCATTCTTGACCACCCAAATATTTATCTGTGTTAAAAAACGATGGGTTCTGAACCCAAGTTCTAAGTCTTTGTTAGGCTTTCTCTAAGTTTTTTGTTCTATTGGTTGTAAAGTAAGAAATTTTAAAATTTATTATTGTTCAAATTTTCCAAATATTATGAAATGTTAATTTTGGGCTAAGTTTCTTTAGTGATTTTTTTAAAAATCCAAATTATTATACTTCCGAAACAGGATTAAAATGTACTCTGTATCAAACGTTATTAAAAATTTATTTCTTCTTAAGATCGATATATTCAGGTAAAAGGGTATTGACGATTCAATCGAAGTGGAATAAAGATCCAATTCATCTTTTGAAGTTTTCAAAATTTTGTAAATTTCCAAACAGTTTCTAAAATCATGAAATTGTTTTGTAAAAGTATAAAAGTTCTTTTCTAAATTATTCTATGAATTTTATTTGAAGTCTGAACTAATCTATTTGCAATTCGAAAGATTCTATTTGATTTTTCCTTCTATTTTTCTATGCTCGTATATTCAAATGATTCACTTTGTAATTCGAAAAGTTGCATTTCTCAATTTTAAAGTTTAATTTTCGAAATTCAAACTAAAACATTCGTAAATAAAAATTTCTATAAAAATATTCAAGTTTAATAGTATGGGTATGAACGTACGAATCGTTCGAATCACAAATGGTAAACTTCAAATTACAAATTGAAAAATTCGAGTTCAAGTTGAAAAGAAAACTTCAAAAACATTAAATGATGCATTTCGAATTGCAAGTGAAAGTAATTAAAATATTAAATTTAATACAAAAATATAAATAAATATAAATTAAATAATTGAAAAGAGTATCGAGAAAATACAAAATAAAATTCGTACTTTAAAATATTCGGATAATATTTTGAGTTCTTTTTTAATTGAAGTCTAAATTATTTCATTTATGATTCGTAATATTACTCCATTTGATATTTATATTATTTCACTAGATATTTCAATTATTCATTTTGTAATTCCAAAAACGGTGTTTCAAAATCGAAAAGTAAATTCAATATTTGAATAAGTTTTTCAAGCTCGAGTTCCAATGTTGTTAGGAACATTTTTTTATTTATTGATATTTTGAAATATTCATTATTCTGAAAATTCAAATATCTAAAATATAAAAATAGTAAAATTCATCTTTAAGTGTAATAATATCAATGTGCAAAATTCGAATTAAAAATGGAAAATTTCAAATTAAAATAAAATGAAAAATCGAATAAAAAGAGAATATTACATTCGAATTGGGAAAATGGAATTATAAATGAAGCATTTTGAATTGCACATGTATATCATTCGAATTTAAAATTAACAACTTGGATAAAAATTGAGAATATTTGAATTTCAAGAAAATATTGGAAGTTTACATTTAAAACTGTTTAGAATCTTAAGATAGATTTACACAATTGAATTTGTCTTAAAAATGTTTCAAACTCTTGTAAACATCATTTATTCAAAATTTATTTATCAAAACTTTGATCAATAAATTAAAAAATATTGAAGATATTTTATTGTTTAAAGGAAATTTCAGTAGGTATATTAATGGTAAAATAAGGAGGTAGAACAGCTTCGTAAAACTACAGAAATGCTGACCTAAGGCTACGCCCGCTTCCTGTCAAATTTGCATGCAACAAATTGTTTTCATTTATTCAATATTTTTACTCATTTTTAAAATCAGTTAAACAGCGGAAAAAATGAATGATATGTCTAGATTTTCTTTCAATCAATGATTTTGAAAATATTTTGTTTTTATTTTTTAAAACAATAAATGCATACACAAAATTGGCAGAAGTCGGGCACACTTAGAAAAAAATTGTAATCACCTGTGGTAGCTCTACTTTACCTTTTTATTGTACCATGGGTATGTCCAAGGCCTAAATATGGTCGAACGAGAAGACTATTTTGACATTAAATTAAAATTTAATTTTTAGACTATTTTGATTTGACGTTCTTTGAATTTTGAATCATAATTATGTTTTTGACTTTAAAATCATGTTTTTGAAACTTGGTAGCCCGATGGGCTTACTGGTCCTCGTTATATAGGTAGATATAGGTATATCTACCTTTAAAATGAAAAAATAAAAATAACGTGCAAGAATCGGGGTTTTATTCGAAACTTTTTCATAAACACAAAATAAATTATATCTAAAAATTGTGTAGATTTTTTTTCAAATACATTTTTGATTTTTGTTCTTCAGATTTGTTGCTGTCTTCAAAATTCATTTATTGCTCTGTTTCAGAACCTGCAAGAACAATTCCGTCGGAACTGTAATATTTTGTTCAATTTTGATATTTTGTATTAGAAGTTATTAGAGATATATATTTTGGTGACATTGAGATATAATTTTAATTTATTCCATTACTAAATAATATATTGTTAGATCAGTGTTTGTCTTCCTCAATATTCAATCAGATTTAAATATATAACCCGAACCCTCACACCATTGTCTCAAAAACTAAAATTCTTCCCAAATATTTTGCATTCCAATCGTGTTTAAGTGCTAAATTAAGTTAATTAAATTTATCACGAACACAAAAAACCACAAAGACGAAGAAAAAAATGTTCTTGCCACACTAGGAGTCATAACAGCGAAACCAAAGAAAAATCACCGCAGGAAGCCAAAGAAACCAAGTGTTAAAACCGCATTAAGAAATTGCATACAATTGGAAATGCAGAATGCTTTGCGATTTCTTGTGGTAAATGCAATGGCAAAAAGTTCCGACGAATCAATAAAAGGAACATTTCGATTTCTTCAACCCCCAATTAAGGGAATAATAACTAAAAACACTTGGCTAGTTAGGGGAAGTAAAATAAACAAACAAACACACACAATTCAAAATTTTTTGAAATCAAAAACTAATTGCACCAAAAATCCTGTGGCTTCTGACAACATACCCACTTGCCTGGTGCCTTTCAGACGCAAACAATATGCTTTCTAAAAAATAATAAAAAAACAACTCTTTTTTCAATTTGAAAATAAGGAAAATGCAGGACATATTTATTTATTTTTTTGTCATGACAATGGTCCGTAAAATGTGTGTGTCTCGCCGTATGCAAATTCAATATTTTTTCAGATTTTTTATTGTGGTTGCTGTTGGCATATTTTGAAAGTCTCGGCTTGAATTTAATTGAAAACCGCACGGGTTAGAATTAAATATTGATGGATTCTTTTGTCAACGGAGAAAGAAAACCCAAATCGCATTGAATCGATTGGAATCCTCGGAAGGATTGATTTGTTTGCATTCTTTCCGGGTTTTCTTAAAACACGCGTTTCATTTCATTTAAACAAATAAATAAAACAGCAGTGTAATTGGTAGGGAAATCATTAAAATAAAATCAAAGTTTAATTGCTGGCAACCCTTTAGAGGTTAACATCGATATCCTGCCGTCGGGAAAGTTCAACTTTTTTTTTGTTGTTTGCCAACATTCAGAGGAGTGTCTGCGTGCCGGAAAGACGCTGGAAATCAAAATTGTTTTGGTTTTATTTAACTGTGCGCTAATTGCTAGCATTGATTGATAGATTGATTTGCCAACAAAACTAATTGCATTTTTTTCTTTTGTTTTTGCAGAGTCCTCGTGGCATGCAACCCTGCAGTCCATCAGGCGTTTTAGCGGTAACAATGCCTCCATCGAAAAGTCCCACAATGGAATGTGCTGCTGCTGGTGGTCAGAAGACGCCAGAACCCCAAATGCAAATGGCAGCCACTTCGAGCAACAACAACACTTCAGCTGCAGCAACAACAACAACAACAGCATTTTCATCGCCACTGAGTACCCGCAATTGTCCTTTGAAATTTTCCATTGCGAAAATTATGGAACCCGATCAACGTACTCATCAAAATGTCAGCAACGCAGCCACTCCCCTGGTGGATGATGAACGTTCCTGCAGTCCCATTGAGGTGACCAGCGATGATTGTGAATCATCTACCCATGCCAATAACGCAGAGGAGAATTATGATTCAGCTTTCAAGAAATATGTACCAGCATCGTCCAATGTCAACTTGTCGTCGTCGGTTGCATCAGCCTCAGCGGCCATTGTCAATAATGTCTCCTCCACATCGGCGGCAGCTGTCCAACAATTTGTCTCCAGCCGTCACCAGGAATTGCTTAGCCAATATCCTTTGCTATATTATGCCGCTCCCAACCAGTTGATGTGTGCCGCAGCTGCAGCCCAATATGCAGCACTCACAGCCGCCCAACAACAATCCCTTTTGGCAGGCAGTCCTGCAGCCACCGCGGCCCATTTAAGCTCCTTTACAGCCTCACTGAATTCCCTCCACACCCAAACGCTACGTCGTCAATTAGCCGCTCCTGGTACCAGCCACCACCTGGCAGCAGCTGCTGCAGCCGCCGCTGCTGCTCAAGCGGTACATCATCAAGCTTTAGCTTCGGCACATCCACAACTGCAACAAACACTCGAGAAGTCTCCAGTTGCACACAAATCTCGAGAATCCTCTCTAACGCCTTCCTCCTCCTCCTATCACCACTCACTCAAGCGCAAACATTCACCCGCCTCTAGTCACAACAACACCTCGTCATCCATCAGTGATCCCTGTAGCCCACCCGAAGCCCAAAGAGCACGGGCCGATTCTCCCAGCTCCATTGATGATAGCCCCAACTCGGCCAATGGTGGCAAACAGAAAACGTTCTCCTGTCTGGAATGTGGCAAAGTATTCAATGCCCACTACAATCTAACGCGGCACATGCCGGTCCACACCGGAGCCCGTCCCTTTGTGTGCAAGGTCTGCGGCAAAGGATTTCGCCAAGCCTCTACTCTCTGTCGCCATAAAATCATTCACACCTCAGAGAAGCCTCACAAGTGTCAGACGTGTGGTAAGGCCTTCAATCGATCCTCCACCCTGAACACCCACACCCGCATCCATGCCGGCTACAAACCATTTGTGTGTGAGTTCTGTGGCAAGGGATTCCATCAAAAGGGCAACTACAAGAATCACAAGCTTACGCACAGCGGCGAGAAGGCCTACAAGTGCAACATTTGCAACAAGGCCTTCCATCAGATCTACAATCTCACCTTCCACATGCACACCCACAACGACAAGAAACCCTATACGTGTCGGGTTTGCCACAAGGGGTTCTGTCGCAACTTCGACCTCAAGAAACACATGCGCAAGTTGCATGACATCGGTAGCGGTCCACTCGATATCGATGAGAACACCAACGAACGTTTGGAAAGAAGACGTGAGTATACCCGGCGTGATCAAAGTCTGGAATATCATGGAGGTCATATGAACTCCAACTCCTCGGATGGTTCGATGTCGCCGCCCATAAATGTTACTACACCTCCATTGTCAAGCAATGAAGGCAGTAGTTCAGCCTGGCCCACATCTACGCAATACTCCAGCGGTAATCCCCACAACTACTCAGCGACCGCGCTGACACCACCCTCCGTATCAAATTTCCGGACAGCCACCGAGTATGGTGGTAGTTCAGCCTTTATCAACTTTGCCCAGTCATCGGCCACGGCGGCAGCTTCGTCCAGCGCCCATCTCAACCCCAATCATCCACAACACATGGCAACGGCCAATCATCAGCGGCTATCGGCGGCAGCGGCTGCTGTTACGGCAATTGACAACGTACCCTTCATTGCCAAAGTATTTTGACACAGATACTATGCCGATACCTTGGTTCATCATCACAGCCACCACCAGCACCATCATAACCCACATCAGAGTGCCTCATACCAGGGCACGAGTATCGCCAATGCCTCCACTTCTGCCGCCACCTCCTCCTCTGCTGCCTATGCAACATCACAAGCCTCGACAAAGAGTATTCTGATCGATTGACTGCAATTTGTTGCCGCCGCTGCAGTGGCGTCGTCCATGCCACAGCATGTTATGACCGTGGAAACGCACACCGAATATCGCCATCAATCATCGGCCATGAGCCAGTGTGACGACATGCTCCTCACCGATGAGAATGAGAACGAGGATCCGGGTGCAATGCTACAGCATGAAAAATCCCTAATGTCCAGCACCACGACACTGGGAACAGCTGTGCAGGCCCTAAACGGCCTCTTTTGAGAGCTTACATCAATGGCTTCAACAGCTTGAGCTTAAAAGCTTAAGAGTCATATTTGGGAAGCAAGGATGTTTTGCTAAATAGAGTAACTGAAATTAAAACAAAATATAACTAAAGGTTTCACTGTGACCTCTCCTTAGATTGTATCTAGAATTCTGCTCTGCTACTGCTCCACATTTTAACTAAAGTTGATCTTTAGCACTGTAACGAGAAAAACATTAAAGCCTAAGCCACCCCCAACTAGTATCCAAATAACATTGAGTGTGATTTTTGTAATTCTAAGTAATTTGTATCCTAAATTGTAAAAAACAGACACCTTTATAAAAATTTAAAATTAAGTAATTTAAAGAAAAATATAATTAAAAAGTAATTTAAGTATGTATATAATAAACAAATTCACATATTTGAAAAAAAAAATCAAAACAAATGCCACATATTTCTTTTTCACATCAAGTAAATGAGAATTATTACTACATATGTGTATATCTAAATGTGTTCCCCACCCACATATATTTGCTAGTTAGTCATTTGTAAATGTTGTACCACATCGACACCCACACTCACACACACGGCCATTTGCTGTCGAGTCACAAATAGAAACAACAAATATTGGAATCAACTTCTTTTTTAAGTCAGGATAAATAGAAGGAATTTTAATTCACTAAAAACCATAAAGAAATATTTATATTTTATAGAATTGTAAGGGAAAAAACGTTTTATTTAATGAAAAAAATAATTAAAATGACAACAAAAATTAAAAACAACACGTTTTAAATTTAACTCAATAAAGGAAATATTTAATGAAAATTAGTTGATACTGTTTTATTTATAAGTATAGCGGACTACGAAATCGAGGCACAGTGGGGAGAGTCCTTAATAATCGGAGAAAAATTCGGAGAAGCATTCTTGTTTTTGAACATTTTCTCAAACATTGGTGTTACTCGTTGAATGTGTGGTATTGGAAATGGGAAAAATCGGTCCAAGATAAGGTATGACCCCAGATAACGGTGTTACCTGATTTTGGGTATCTTGAAGGTGTAGATAACAATTTCATCCCAAATCACGAGAAATTTGGTTTTTCGGGTTCTGACGAGATAGATCTCCTAATAATTTCGGCAATAGAATGATTGCGGCTATAATTTCAAACCAAATTATGTCTAGTTTTAAATTCTAGTGTAAACAATTGTGAAAATAGGTCCATAATTTGATAACGTTACCTTCCCAGAAACTTAATAGTTGACATTTTGTTCTCTTAAAGAAAACAAGTAAAAAAACATTAAGTTCGGCCGGGCCAAACTTGTAATACCCTCCACCCTAGGGTAAAGGAAACCTTAGAAGAAATGTGGCAAAAACCATTAAAATGCCGCATATCGAGAGGTATCGTTATATTGGGGCTATACCAAATCGTGGACCTACACATACAATGTTTCGCCAAAGGAGCTAGAACCCATCATGACATACAAATACCAATTTTCAGACAAATCCGTGAAAAAATGTGGCAAAAATCATCAAATTACCGAATATCGGGAGGTACCGTTATATGGGGGCTATACCAAATCATGGACCCATACATGCAATGTTTCGCCACCGGAGCTGGAACCCATTATGACCAACAAATACCAATTTTTAGACAAATCCGTGAAAAAATGTGGCAAAAAATTAAAATACCGAATATAGGGAGGTACCGTTATATGAGGACTATACCAGAACGTGGACCGATATATCTCATTTTCTATACCAACCATCCTAGACACAATACAAATTGCTCTGCTAAATTTTACCGCTCTACGTCAAATAATGTGGGCTGTATCGTGATTTCAACAGATTTTATCGTGATTTTATACCCTTCTCCCATGGTACAATAAAAAGGTAAGCTAGAGCTACCAGCTGATTAAAGATAATAACCAGTTTTGCCATGGGATTGAAAGATTGGACAGTTTGGTTCATATTTTTGAAAGAAAGCTGAGGCTATTTAACTAATTTTTTACAGGAAGTAGGCTCTATTCCTATAGTTTTACGAAGCTGTTCTATTTCCTTATTGTACCATACCACATTGTAAGGAGGGTATACTAAGTTTGTCATTCAGTTTGTAACTCATCGAAATGATGGTTTTAGACCCAACAAAGTATATATATTCTTGATTTCGGAATATATTTCATACATTCAAAATCTAAATTCCTAACCAATCTTCTATTGAGGGTTACAAATTCAATAGAGTACAAAATTTTCTTTCCTTACCTTCTTAACATTGGTTAGGAAAGTGGACTTGCGGGTACACTTAATGTGGGGACTATATTTAAATAAATAGACAGTTACCTTTAAGATGGCTCTCTATCCCAGGGTAGCCTAAATAAAATTTTTTTAGCCAAATCAATTGATCAAGACCAAGATGGGCCCTACTCCGAAAATTGAAAATTTTATGAGAAGAGGTTTTCTACCACCTTAAAAACAATAATGCCAAATAAGGGCCTAGAAATGAAAAATAATAAGTTCTAAATTTCTTAAAGTTCTCATTGGACGGATTATTGTCATATGAAAGAAGTAGGTCCACGTTTTGAAATGAGCCCCATAAGGGTTTGTCGGTCAGTTTTTCTTGTTTAAATGTGTTCGCATATTTCAGCTGAAGCATGATGTAGGTCCTATAGTTGAAAGCTAGATGTCAATTTTAGACAGGAAAGATAGCCATTTAACATCGTATTGCGCACTCATTTTAAGGTATGTCAAATTGAAAAAATTACATGTCACAAAAATGTTTTCATTCATATTTCTATTGGCATAATTTAGCGATTTTTTTTTGCCAAGATACCATTTCGAAATTGTATGAATTGCCAAAATCGTTTAAGCCGTTCTTGAGTTATAAGCGCAGTAACTAACAAAACTTTCTTGTATATGGTGAAAATAATTATTTATTTTGTATCTTCTAAGTTTAGTTCGACTTACCCAATAAATAAATAAAATCTATAAATAACAGTTTTGTCCGTTGTTGCTTATACCACAAAAAAAAAAACGCATTATATTAGAATTTAACAAAAAAAAATCCTAATATACATTCGAAAATAGTAAGTCAAAATGAACAAAAGTCATACAAAATAAAACATTACTATTATACATTTCAAAATTCGAAACGAAAAACTTAAAATCTGTCATTTTAACTCGATTTTTTTTTTTGCATTTTATCCTTTTTCGCCAAGAGACAATTCCGAATTTGTCTGAATCGTTAAAATCAGACCCGCGGTTCTTGAATTATAAGCAGAAACGTATACAGAAATGCAAAAAATTAAATTTTCCTGTTAAATATGACTAGTTACCAGCAAATTTGGTTGGAAAAAATGACTAAACTGGCAACAAATCATCCCATTTCAACACCAACATTTCTACGGATCTAAAACGCGTTTGAGTAAAATTGTCCACATACTTCAGTATGTTTGAAAGCTGAAGTGATTTCAATATAATTTTAAGCTGAGACTAAAGTGTTTATTTGGAGCGGCAAACTTAATGTGCCCTTCATATGGTGGTGGATATAAAAAGTAATATATTGTGATCTTAGGACATATTCCGTGTACCAAAAATGTATTATGGAATCAAAAAACAATGGTGACTTTGCACTACAAATTAGTTTACCATCGCTTCCATTTTCCCAAAGGGTTGTTTTATATCAGAGCTTGTCAGGAAAAGGCATCTCTCCCGTCCATTGCTCATCCCATAAATCATGAATTTGTATTATTTTTCGAGTAACTTTATTTACTTTACTTTAACAAATTTGTCGTTATATTCGTGTTTCTTTTAATGCTTTGTTCTCATTACACTTTCAATCACGTTGTTCGCTCTCAGAATTAGGTACACGAATTAACCCGTTCATACGACACGATTCGTAATTCATAGTAGAATAATTCCTTTTTTCAAAAATTTTGTTTGTTCAAAAATTGTTGTTTGTTGGGAAATTTATATGAAAATACATGATATTCTCACTAATATGAATAGAAGAAATTATTGTTTTTCTCCCAAAGATTTATTATATCATTACTTTTACAATTTTCATCCACGTTTTCAACTTTTTGCGTAAATGTTGACATTCTGAACATATTTTTGTATTTTTCTATTTTTAAATTCTGCTGGAGAGACACTTGTCAAACATTTTTTGCCGATACAAACATTTTTAAAATATTGCCTCTTTTGTTTACAGTTTTCTGTGGAAATTTCAACATTGTAGTTTTCATTCATAATTTTCAGTCTTCCCAATTTTTTTTTAAATTTCATTAAATTTTTCTATTTTTAATTTATATATGTCATAATTTATTGGGATGGGACATACTTTTTCGTTGTTCTGAGAGTGGTTTGATTTAAACAATGTACAAATATGAGTGTTCGCTCAGGAAATTTTGTGTGAAGAATTAGGTAGTTTTTTCATAGTTGAGGGTCAAACAACGAATGGAGAGCGAATCAAGTGCAGTGGAAACGCCACATAAGAACGGTGTAAATTATTATACCCTCCACCTTGCAAAGGAGGGTATATTAACTTTGTCATTCCGTTTGTAACATCCTTAAATATTCGTCGTAGACCCTATAAAGTATATATATTCATAATCAGCATAAAATTCTAAGTCGATTTAGCGATGTCCGTCTGTCTGTCTGTCCGTCTGTCTGTCTACTGAAATCACGATACAGCCCACATTATTTGACGTAGAGCGCCAAAATTTATTGTGTCTAGGATGGTTGGTATTGAAAATGAGAGATATCGGTTCACGTTCTGGTATAGTCCCCATATAACGATACCTTCCGATATTCGGTATTTTGATGATTTATGCCACATTTTTTCACGGATTTGTCTGAAAACTGGTATTTGTAGGTAATAACGGGACCCAGTTCGTGTGGCAAAACGTTGCATGTATAGATCCACGATTTGGTATAGCCGTGAAAATTGGTAGTTGTAGGTCGTAATGGGTCCCAGTTCGTGTGGCGAGTCATTGTAATTATAGGTCACCATTTTGGTAAAGCCCCCCGGTACCTCCCGATATTCGGTAATTTGATGATTTTTGCCACATTTTTTCTCGAATTTGTCTGAAAATTGGTATTTGTAGGTCATAATGGGTTCTAGCTCCTTTGGCGAAACATTGCACGTGTAGCCCCTATATAACGGTACCTCCCGATATTCGGAATTTTAATGGTTTTTGCCACATTTCTTCGCGGATTTGTCTAGAAATTGGTATTTGTTGGTCTTAATGGGTTCTAGCTCTTTTGGCGAAACACTGTATGTATAGGTCCACGTTTTTGTATAGCCCCATATAGCCGTATTTCCCGATATTCGGTATTTTGATGATTTTTGGCACATTTTCCCATGAATATGTCTAAAAAATTGGTATATGTGGGTCATAATGATTAATTTCCTTTAAGTGGATATCTATTGCTCTGTTCCAGAACCTGCAAGAGTCTACTAATATTGCAATTGTTTTCAATATCATAAAGGAAAAATCGGTTATCGTAGTAAATAATTTTACATTTCCAATTCTAAAGTTCAAAGTTTAATATGGCGAGAGAGGGTGTGCTAAATACTTGAAAGAAATCATAAATACAATTTTTATATTTACATTTCCTATCGGGATCCGGTTAATCTGTTTCTCCTCTCAATTTACTTGGCTTGCTGTTCAATTATAAAACTGAATTCTATAATTACATTTCCAGACACAATTTCCCTCGAATCTGTGGCGAAAGGGAGGCGAAAGAAAATTTCTCAACGTGCAAACAACATTTGCCACTTGAGACACTTGAAAACAATCTTTTCGTTGCT